TACCTGCACAATTTATTTAGTATAGTATGTGATAATGGTACAAAGACAGAAATAAGAGTAGAGATGGAAATAATAAATAAACTGTGGTAGGTCCAAGTGTTGGGAGAAAAAATTACACAGAAAATTTCAAATTTAAATAAAATATAAATGAAATGGGTATTGACATTGTGAATTATATAACATATTTCAATAATAAAATAGAAATATATATGAAATATGATACAAGTGTGTTGATGCTCAAGGAATAGTTTAATTATATAAGGTAATGTCATTACTCTCAAATTACTGAACAGAAACTCCTCAGCATTGCCAAACAATTTAGCAGTGATATCAACATAAACCTAGTGTTTACTTCACAAAAAATTTAAAAAAAATTAATTTTAAAGGCAGAATTCCTAGTGATCTAAAACCCCCTGTGGGGGATACATTTACTTGTGCAAGATGTAATTCCTGTTACATTCAGGAAGCCACACCTCATCTCGCCACAAGGATCAAATAACACACAACCAGTGACATACAAAAAGCCACACATCACCAAAACACCCACAAAAACCAAACTGCAAAACTAAATACACCTGCTCTTGCTTTAGTATCCCAGACACTGCTAACACCTCCTTCTCTCGAAATCAAGGCTGTTAATCAAGGAGGTTCTATACATGTTGTCAATCAGGCTTGTAATTAATTAGGCTATTCCATGACCATCAACTCACTTATATCATATTCTATTTCATATAATTCACAGTGTAAATAATTTTTTCATTTGCACTATATTTTGTCATTTTTTTTAAATGCCTAATTGCTGTTATGCTAATCAGATGAAGTATTACATCTCCAGTCCAGAGAAACCACCCATGATCTTGACCATAGTTAATATCAACTGTGTCTATATTAACTGTGTCTTGACACATCTCCTCTGAGAAATATTATCAAATGAATTCTCAAATAACACACCTCCTCTGAGAAAAACTGACACATGTACAAACACCTACAAAATGCTAACTGCATATTTGTGCCCTTAAAATGGGTTATATTTAAGTTGAATCATGCTTGCTATAATCTTTCATTTTAAAATTTAAATGCTTAATAACGCAGTTGTTTACCTCAAATACTTTACTGTAAGAGCCAATAAAAAACTGAGTTTCATATTGACAATGGTGTAAACAAATCTAGCCTTCTAGGGAATAAACAATATCTCATGTTTACAGAACATACATGCATGCAATATCCATTCTGCTATAATTTAGAAGCAATTAACACATATTTTATAGAGTTAGGGGTAGTATTAAAATTGTGAAATACAGTTCTGTTTACAAAAGTATCACGAATAATATCTTTTTTCAAATGTAGTAAATCGCCCGTAAGATTTTTTATCAAGTACAACTAGCTATCAAATTAAAAAATAAATCGCTACGAATTTTTCAAATATTTTAAATTTTTAGCGAAACTTCAAATATTATTTGAAGCAGATACACTTTAAAACTAAAGTTTCAAATTAACTACTTTTCTCAATACAAATTATTAATTAAAACGAAATCGATGAATAACTTTAAAGTGCCATAAACTTTTTGGTACAGCCACATGTCAAACTTAAACCGAACGACTATAAGGTTTAGTACAAAAGATACTTACAGTATTTATCTTTAAAAACCACTCTAAAAGCTTCTATATTGTAGATTTTTTACCATCCATTTGAATTTCACTTCTAGAAGAATCCAATTCCAATCAAATTTTCTCTCAATCTGTATATTTTCAGGATAATAAAACAACAAAAGAGTCAAAAGTATGATATTAATATTTCAAAAGTTTTAAAATGGCAGTTATGATCGAACTAAATTTAAATTTAACAATCGTAAGTTGGCAAGTTGGCTAGTTACCAGTTCTAGCTCGTAATAAACCCAATCTCGTACCCAGAGCCTGCGATCCTTTCTTGAATCCAAAAGCGCATGCGCATAACTGACAACAACGCTAATTGCTAATCTCCGATCGGATTTAGTGACCGATGACCATATACTCGGGATAAACAATATAATAAATATAGTAGTCGTATAAAAATAGTCCAATAATTCTTGGGTAAATCATCTGCTATATCTGATGTCAATAAGGTAAGCCACAAATATTTTGTCATTCAGCTAATCTTCATGTGGTGACTAATTCATTTATTGTACTCTGCGAGTTGTAAATTATTCCACTCTTTACCTGCTCATAGCTAATAAAAATCACTCTAGAATGTGCAACTAGCCCAGGAGCATTCAGGATGCAAAGTAGCAAATTAATGACAGTCTGAATAGCAGAATTGCAAAAGTTAATTAATTTAAAAGTTAAAACCCTATTACACGGTGCGACTTTTCTTGCAACTTGGAATGCAATTCTACTTTTGAGAGATGTAACTTTGGGAACTACGAAACCTTTCACCTATGTTTTCACAGATGAGCTATATACAGATATGAAACAGAAGCCACATCGAGCCACACGGTTTTTTGCCCAATATGCGCTTTCGTAACTTGCGTGGCAAGTGTCATGTTGAAATTTTATGAGTAAATCCATGGAAAAATCGAATTTTTGTCAAACAAGTGCTGATTTAAAACAAAACCTTTAGGGCCATGTCCCATTTGACTTGAAATTTTTAAAAAGATGGATGAAGTGGATCTTTTTAGCTAAGAACTAGTTCATGAAAGTATTTGACGCTGGCAAAAACAGTAAGAAATAGAGCTAAAGAGTGCAGGGTTCGCCGTATGGAAAGCTGTGCAATAATTTACCACTGGCTGAGCTATTTGTGAGTTCAGAAAACATATAATACACGCTTTAGATACAATGATATCTCCAGGAGATGAATTAACAAATATAGTTTATGAAAGTATTTGACGCTGGCAAAAACAGTAAGAAATAGAGCTGAGCCTGAGGAGTGCAGGGCTTGGCGTATGGAAAGCTGTGCACTAATTTAGCACAGGCTGAGCTATTTGTGAGTTCAGACAACATATAATATATGCTTTAGATACAATGAAATCTCCAGGAGATGAATTGACAAATATCTTGGGATAATAGAAATAATAAAACGAAATGTTAAGAGGTTAAAAAGGACTTTGTGTATATTTAAGATGAACAACAACAGCATGCATGTAAATACGACGAGCAATTCAGCGTATTTAGCGATTTTGGGCGTTTAGTTATAAAAAACAACTTCATCACTCGTCTTGGACTGTTTTTCACACAAAGTTTACAAATTAATGCTTATGCGGGACTATTATGACCATACACGGGTCTTTTTAGCGTAACTCTGAAGACAAAAAGTAAAGACATGGCCATATTATGTTTTGAGTTTCATGTTTAATATTAGCAATCAGACACTCAATATGCTTTATTATTTAAAAAACAGACAGATAGAAACTTGAAAAATTCAGATAAATAATATTTACATGTAAGCATGGGACTTCATTGGTTTGATAGCAAACTTGCCATCTTTTCAAAAAGAAAGAAATGGCACGAAGAAAGGCAAAAAGAATATGGAGGCCTAACCACTTGGAAACATTCCGGAACTCAAAGCACTCATTAAACGAAAACGTAATTGAAAGGCAAACGGTCGGATGACGAGGAGAAACAGGGAAATACCTTTCAGAACAGTTATTACTGCAGGGCTCCCAGGACCTTTAACTGTCTAGCATCATACCTACGCCAGCTAAATATTTCAACCTGCCAATTTAAATGTAGACTTTTTAAGTACTATGAAAATCTTACTGAAGAAGTATTTGACATTGATATTCCACAAACGTTTAAAATAGTCTGTGTAAAGTGTCATTCGTGTCGTCCCTTATGCAGTCTTTCTGTTAAATTGTGTTGTTATTGATATGTTAAGCCGAAGGAAATATTAGTTTGTTGTTAGACTGAAGCACTAAACAAAATTTCTAAATATTTTTCACGATAACGTACGACTTCGAGGGGTGATATATTCTTTGTCTTAACTTCAATTTGTGTTTATAGCATGCAAAAAAGTTACCCGCGTAAAGGAGCACTTAGCTCTGTGGGTTTTACCAGTATTTAATTGACAAAGATCGCCAAATAAATAAAATAAAACAAAATTGCGAAGAATTCAGCCAGAGTACATATATCTCATAGTGCCAACGCAAATATCTTTCGACATCAATTGGATCAGCTTTTTTGATTTTCAAAAGTCAATTTTGGGCCTTAGATATGCTCAATTGCCTTTCCTCAATTAACGAAGGATACACATACCTATATTCTTTAGAAATTTATTCCAGAAATAGCTATAACTGGCGCAGATTTTTTAAAAGCAATTTTTCGTCTTAAAAACTCATTAAATTCCCTCATGACACTTGCCAATTAAGCTCGCCGGAGGACGGAGGTCATCACGCGCTGGCTGCGAAACAATCACAAAACAATCAGGAAAAACACAGAAGTTTCATATCTGTATATAGCTTATCTGTGCCTTTATGTTCATTACACTCCATGCACGTTTTTTACCTATACAGGGTGTCCCAAAAAAATGTCCCCTCTATTGAAATCAAGCCTTTGTTCGAATCTGATTGCCTTAATATTATGATAAACCCAATTGAAAGCAAGACGCTTTATTTGAATGCCTCAACCTAATAAATATGCTATTTACACACTACTGCGTTGATCATGCATTCAAATTCCAACAAAAGCTTCATTTCAATAGCGGGGACTTTTTTTTGGGACACCCTGTACCTAATAAATATGCTATTTACACACTACTGCGTTGATCATGCATTCAAATTCCAACAAAAGCTTCATTTCAATAGCGGGGACTTTTTTTTGGGACACCCTGTACAGGGTGTCCCAAAAAAAAGTCCCCGCTATTGAAATGAAGCTTTTGTTGGAATTTGAATGCATGATCAACGCAGTAGTGTGTAAATAGCATATTTATTAGGTTGAGGCATTCAAATAAAGCGTCTTGCTTTCAATTGGGTTTATCATAATATTAAGGCAATCAGATTCGAACAAAGGCTTGATTTCAATAGAGGGGACATTTTTTTGGGACACCCTGTATGTTCATTACACTCCATGCACGATCCTTCACAACTCGTGCATAAAAATCGTACGCACTCGCCAACGATGAAGTAATCTCTATATATTAAGCATATTTTTCCTTGGGCTTGGATCCTGTGGACATGGCGTCTAAACAACAAGATAGACAAAAATGAATTTGAAAACGCTCAAAAATAACGCTCCTGTGCACATACCTAGCCTAATTAGGCTTCTGGGATTTGAAAATACGTTTCCAGGAGCTGCACTATCAAAATAAGCCACAAAGTGAATTAAAATTACTTCGATTACGAATGGCTCAGCTAATAAGAGATTTAACAACCATTTTAGACGGAGGTTGAGTTTGCTCCTATAAGTTTAAAAACAGAAATCTCTTAGTTCTGTTCTTAACTGAGCCAATCGTAAGTAATCAAAGTCATAAGTTTAATTCACTTTGTGTGTTTGTTTTAAGGTCCCATATGTCGCCGATGGAAATCTCGAAACCGTAGATAGTCAGTTGCATCATTTAAATCGATACTAGGTAGCTAGAACACTGCCGATTTTATTGACCGACATATATATATATATATATATATATATATATATATATATATATATATATATATATATATATATATATATATATATATATATATATATATATATATATATGTTATTTACCGGCTGCGAGGTCCGGATGCAAAAAACTGTGCCGGAGGTCTCGAAAACGGCCCGAGGCCGTAGGCCGAGGGATGTTTTTGAGACCGAGGGCACAGTTTTTTGCATCCGGACCGAAGCTGCCGGTAAATAACGTGTTTATTTTTTAACCTTGACTTTTTTGACTTTATAAAACACAAAAAAATACAACAAATTTAATGAATAAACTATAAAAATTTTAAATTCTGCAAGCCATTTTAGAATTTTAATACGTCAACAACTCCTTATAAGGATATCCTAGTCGGGAAACAGCCAATGAAATGGCAAATATTGTTACCATAGCAACTAAATCACGGCGAATCGATTAAAAAAACAACGTATTGACAAGCGAAAAATGGCGTAAAAAATCCAAAAAGAGAAGTTTTTCGGGTATGTTTTTTATTTTTAACATTCATTTAGCCTTTTCCAGAAAGGTTTTCACACATTTTAGCCGTACGTTGCTTTGGTTTTGTCGTTTTGCTTGCATTTTTCACAGCGGGCCGAATGCATTTTGCAGCGGGCCGGATGCAAAATTTTGGCCCGCTGTGAAACGCTTTACAGCCAATCAGATTGCTTCATTTACAGAGTTTAAAAATAAATAATGTTAATGACTAGCGGGCTTTTCATCCATGCATTGCAGTCCAGTGGTCAAGGGTTCGGTTCTTGTGCTTGATACCTGTATTCGAATACTGCCTGTAACCACTTTGTTTTTTCTTTTTTTCGTATTTGCAAAGTCCCGAATTGAACCAGTGAAAATACCTTTTGGTTAATTATTTGGGTTATTTGAGGGTTTGGTTTATTTTCTGTGTATATTTGTCGTTTCGCAAGACCGAAAACGCATCGATCGATTCGCGTTCACACTACCGTTTTCGTAGCGTATTCGACTGTTCACACTAAAACGCTTGAATACGTACGATGACCGGATCGTAGTCTGACGTAAAACGGTGATTTGCGCATCCTCGGCATTTGTTCGACTCGCGCTTGTTCGACCAGGTCGAATACAAAATCTTCTAGTTGGTCTGCAAGACCGATTTTTTGCTCGAATTGGACCTGGAGAAGGCCCAAATAAAATGTATGCTCGTAAGACAGCTATTTGTTTTCGGTGTGAAGCCATCATGGCCTTATACAACGCAACAACTCCAGATCGTGCTCGTCCGCCATGTTTGGTTGGAATTATGCCGCGACTTAAGACCTGGAAATGAGTGGCAATCACTGGTGGCAATCGATGCGTGTGACGTAATCGTTTTCAAAAGTACCGTCTTCAAGTGTTCACACTAATACGATATGTATGCGTTTTCATTTGTATTCACTTTCAACAGCGTATTCAAATCGATGCGTTTTCGGTGAATAATTCAAGCACGTTATTCTTCAGTGATCACCTACAATGGTTATCGCCAAAGGTATTGTGTTAAAAAATGCGAGGCTTCCTGTGTGAAACGATGTTGCGACACCACCACTTTGTAACGTTTCGGGACAAACCCGATGCCCTTGGAGCTAAAACCGAAACGTCATTCGGAAAGGCGGACTAAAGATACGCGGTCAAAAATCACACGATTTTCCGGTGGACTGCACTGGCAATGTTACTCCAGGTATACGAGTTCATTTTTAGACTGAAATTTTCGCAATTTGTGAACATATAGTGTAATTGATTGAGAGAAAAAATAATATAGGCAGGAGGTTTTGTGTGCAGAAGATAAGGGTCAGGAAAAGCATGCACAGTGTGGATCCAAATGGAGATCTGCTTAAACTTAACATTGGAAAGTCAAATTATACAGCGAAGAGGTTAACATTATAACGTATAGGCGGGAAAATAACTTACGAATAGTTTACAATTGCGCGGCTTTGCAAAGTGATGTCATCATTCAGTCCTGGGTTTTCTAAATTTGAATCCTTTCCAAGTGCAGACACTTTGAGTAAATTTACATGCATTTCAATCAAATTTACGGCTTTTGTGAGAGGGGATTCGTTTGAATGCTCAGCTGCATAAGGTATTTCTTCTTCGTGGGCCATGTTTTCAGATCAATCTAACAAATTAACGCGTATTTTTCCTGGGGTAACATTGCGAGTGCAGATCACACCGTGTGATTTTGGACCATTTTACCGCGTATTGTTAGACCGCCTTTCCGAATAAAGATTTGCCGAGATCCGAAATGGTTTTGGCTGCAAGGGCATCGGGTTTGTCCCCGAAATGTTAAACAGGAAGTCTAGCATTTTTTAACCCAATACCACTCCATAATCGCCAACCGTCGATGACATATCGACGTCGTCCCAATTTATATACCAGACGAAACAGAATCGCGCTTTTAAAAGCTGCATAGGAATTGCGAAATTATTTATGTGGCAAAGAGTGCACAAGAGCCGCATGAATTTTGTGCTTTGTCCCAACCCCGTATTTATACTAACAGACGGATGATGCTTTAAGACGAACTACTATGCGGATAACGTGTTGACGGATGATCCGTCTGTTTGCCCATGTTAAGGCATGTTTACTCCCAGACGAACTGGAAGAACTATCTTTCGCTTGCCCAAGTTTTTCTAGACGGTCTCTAGTTGTCTCGACGCGATTTTAGTCAACTGACTGCAATCGGAATATATCAAAACAGTTTGATATTTGTCGATGAAGATCGGCTGACAAAAACCGCGTTGTGTGCGGCTGGCTTTCGACACGATTTTTCTTTCTATCATTTCGGTGGAAAAATCTCACATGCGCGGACTACAGGCAGTCCCAAAAAAGTAATTATCGCCTAGCTTCAGCTCGAGCTTGTATTTCTGAAACAACTAAGAATTTTTGATACACCAAAGTATTGTTTTACAAATTTACCGAAACGTTCCTAAGGCATTTTACATACCACTTGTTTGGTGAAATCATTGGTGCTTTTCTCCGAGTGGTAACATATGCGCCAATTATTGTTTGACCATGACTGGCGCGATTAGAGAAAAATTCTTAAATTCAGGGGTACAGTATTCTGCAAAAATAAATTTAACAACAAGCTTGTAACCAAGGTACTCTGAATTTATGATCCTGCGCTGACAATTATGCAGTGTTTAAGTTCTATGTCTAGTTTAAATAATATGTGCCATGTTCACACTGTCTTTCCAGCTCATGGTATCAGATGGCCAAAATTTCAAACACATCCAGGTTTGGTCAAAGTCTGGTACGCCGGATAAATAATGTTCACACACCTAACCTAGACCTGGTCTAAACCAGGTAAAAGCTCATAGTGTAAACACAGCTTTATTTTAATCACCAACGGCCTGTTATAAATTAGGTAAGTATATAGTTAGTTAAGTATATAGTTTTTACAATGTTAGGGTTATAAAATTAGTTGCTCGAGAAAATCAATTTCACCCTTGCTCAAAGGTACAAGGAACATGGTGAAACCACAGATAGCTAAAAGTGCGTATAGATACGCAAAGGAAGTGGTAGGCAGATAGGCTGTGGTCACCCAAGTGAGGAACTAATGTAGATTAGGGAGAAATTATGGGCAGTAGAATATGTGTCAGCCCTGAGAAACAAACTTCTCATGGTTGAAACAGCAGACAGTATATAAAAGAGAAAGGTGAGAGAGCGAGAGAGGGTTTTGAACAGAGTGTCAGAGTGTTTACGGAAAATAGTGATCAGACTTGTAATGAGCTATTGTTAATAAAAATTGAAAACAAATTGTGGTATTGTGATATACAGTATGTACAGTCCCAACGAACGAGAACCAGCAACTATAAAATCTGAGGGATTTTATAACACACCCACCATTATTACAATTGATGTGGCTTACACAGTAGTTACCTTAGGTTGGTACTATCTAATCAAATTTTTGCATCCACACAGTCAATTAGAGCAGAATTGAACTGTTTACTAGCTATTTGATTTTGTAAAAATGAACAAACAAAATATTTAATAGTTCCTAACCTGCATTCAGGTAATCCTCATTAAGAAAAGTCCCTTGTAGAGCCATTTTATGGAATTGCAGTGCTGGAACTAAAAGAGTTTAAGACATGCCTTTCAAATTAACCATGGTACATCAGTTGTGTTATGAAGAGAACTGCAGGTTTTTAGGAAAAAAACACAAATAATTTCAAATGTGTATAAATGATATTTTATGTCTTACATATTGATGTTCTAGTAAAAATGCAATTGAATAATTGCATCTTGTCTTTCTAATAACTCAAATGTTGACGAATAGACCTTTTCAGCTTGCATGCAAATTAACCCATTTCAAATGTTGTGACCATGGAATAGTCAATAAACCATTTGAGACCATGTTACTTGAAATGGGTTAATTTGCATTAAATCTACAAGGAGATTGGTCTAATCTAGCCTAAGCATTTCCATAACCATCATAAAAAAGCATGAATTTTGTCAATATCACTTATTATCCTACCCCCCTCCAAATCCAAGCCCATTTGCCAAGCCTTTGCCTGTGGAATGCATAAAAAGATTGTTGGTGAAACTCAACTTTTATCACTCTTACTGAAGCAATTAGAAAGATGAGAAAATTTGGTAAGCTTTAGTTAAGCTTCCAATGATAATACATGCAATCATGTTTTGGAAACCATAAGGCAGCCCATCAATGTAGTTACATTATACTATCTTATGCAGCATTGACTGGGATCTTTTTTTAAAGTATGCGCAAATGACGAAAAATATCACTAAAATAAGTACAAAAAAACTATGAGTATTTGCTATATAAAGATGTGTAGTGTAGGACAAGTTTGTTGTGCTAAAATCCATTAGGTTGTTTCTGTTTTATGAAAACAGGTCTCAACAATGTTGTGCCCTATAGGGAAAACCAACTTGTTATCACAAACCCACAAACATAGATGTTATCAAGTTGTGGCAATTTGTTGATCAGCCTAACACGATGTTACAACTTGATAATAAACATACAGTTCAAATATCATTCAATATTCAGTGGTGTTTTTTATAAACTGGTAACAACTAGAGCCTTTATTGCTGTGTGGGGAAAACGAACTTGTCACCAAAAAGACTACCTTTTCATGGTAATTCCACGCATAATAAATATGGGCTATTTAGAGTTAATTTAATTTACCTCTCAGATTTGTGATCTGACCATTTTTTAGACAGGATTGACTGCACGAGCTCACTTAACTGACCATTCAAGTTAATCAAATCAACACTCAATATGCCAGAAAAATTATATTTTTCGGTGAGATTGTACAGTGTACTTTCAAGACGCTAGCAACAATGATTGAAATATTACAGAGGTTAAGATACCCTGGTTCCGGTATACGCGTAACCTTATTTTGTTCAATGAATTTCCATCAGTGTTTCTCAATTCAACTTTTTCGAAGATTACCTCGACAATTATTTTCAAGTAGACTTTAGCCTCTTGTGGCGAGCATGAATTGTATCAAGAAACGTGCAAACAACAAAAAATTCCAATGAACAAAATATGGTTACCCGTACCTGTATACCGAAACCGCAAAAACCGCCTGCCATGCAGGTTACCTCGTACCCAGGGTTTTCCCTGAAAGTGACTCATTTCTCATTGAGTGATTCGTGACCAATGTTCCTGACTCGGTGATGGAGCAATGGGAAAAACGAAAATCCAGTATTATAAAGTGGAATCACTGTGATTTGCCTTTCGGCGGGATAAAATAAATATGGTTCGCGGCCGTGGGAATAATTTTATCTCAAATAGACCAAGTTGTTTTTTTGCTTTTCAGTGGAAAACGTTCGAGCAATTCGAGGAATATAAAAGAGTGAGGTAATGCGGATTGAGATGCATTAATTTTCATTGTGGCTTCGGCACGTTATTGATTCGAATGTTGTATATTAATATACGTATTTATATATAGTCAAAGTTTAAAATTTCATTTATTTTAGTATATATACACTCTATAGTCTGTACTGTGCACTATACACTGTTTCGTATAGAACGATTTCACGTTGTCTGTAGAGTTTATATTATATTTGTAGTTACCTAGTCCAGTTTCAAATCTTTAAAAAGGAAGCAAATTTACTACACATTTTTATTTACTGCACCTTTCTAAATTTAGTAGTCCTTTACACTACAATAAATTGAAACAATAGGCTAAGTAAATCCAGTGCCTTCAGATTGATTCAGTGGTTTAGGAAGCAGTGGGGATGGTGCCAGCTGAATAATATAAATGTCTCCAGTTAACCTCCCTAATAATACAGTACTTTAACCTGAATGCCTTCCTATCCACCTGGATAGGATGTAATGGATAAAAAGTGGAGAAAGAAAGTGCAAAAGTTGTGTATTGATGTACTAGACTTTAGTCATCAAATGTTGTTATTAACCAACTTGACCAAGTTAATCATTTTGCAAATGATTTTTGTTTGTTTATAAACTGATTATCTGGCCGTACACTGTATACAATGCACCCCCACATTATTTTAGGGTATTATTCCACCAAAAAGACAGTGTGATGGGCAATGCTTTGATTTATTTTATCACGTGATACAATAGCACTTGGCAACAAACATGAATTTCTGTGAATTTGCAATTTAATTTCTGTGAATTTGAAATGTTCTGTGAATTTTGCAATTTAATCAAACTAGATGACTTTTGTGAATAAAACTTCAAAATAAGACATAGGGATGCCTTATATGAAGGCATAGCACATTCTCTGCATTTGAATTTTACCTATACTGGGTGTCCCAGAACAAAGTACTCCGGTTTGATTCATAATAGCTTCTAAACTAGCTAAGCTATTAAACTGAAATAACTTTCACTAGATTGAGGGAAAACTAACTTAGATTTTGATAAATTACAGTTGTATTTTACTTTAAAATTTACGGAGATATCAATGTTCAAAATTGGTAGCATATTTCTGGATGTGTCTAAATTATGCAAAAAACGCCGTATCAAATGTTAATCAATATAATTTAGACACATCCAGAAATATGCTACCAATTTTGAACATTGATATCTCCGTAAATTTTGAAGTAAAATACAACTGTAATATATTAAAATCTAAGTTAATCTTCCCTCTATCTAGTGAAATTTATGTCAGTTTAATAGCTTAGCTGGTTTAGAAGCTATTAATAATCAAATTGGAGTACTTTTTTCTGGGACACCCGGTACATTAGGGCCATTTATACAAGACAAAGTATAAATGGCCCTATTATTACCATATGAAAGTACACTTCTCATAATGAGAAGCAACCTGGGCAAAGGGCAGTGAGGCAGCGAGCAATGATAATTGAGGAGGATGCATATTCATATAGTCAGGTTTTAAAACCTACTATAAAGACAATTGACTTTAAAATGAATTAGTAATGCACAACATGGATATTTGAATACATATGGTGCCCTCTTCCAATTATCCTGCTAGCTACGGTACTGGCAAAGTGTTTTCAAAGGGTTTAAAATAGCTGTAAAAGATTCAGTATATTCACACCATTTGTAAAAATAAAATGTTTGTGACAGCAATTTGAGAAAAAATGAGAGAGTACTGCTAAACATTATTGACAAATCTATCGACTATACTTTTCTACTAGAAATACATTCATGCAGCATCATTTGGTACAGAACATAGTCATAACATTAAAGTTGATGTTACCCATTTTCTGCAGGCATTTTATAGACCCTACCAGCTTAGCCAACTGTTAATTTCAACATTTAAGGCTTCCAAACAGTACCCAATCTTCAAGTACAGAACCTCTAATATTCTTTGAATATATATGCTGTTGACTGTAAAAGCTTTGATTTTGATGCAGCAGTTTATATTAAAATATAAATTTATGCTTTCAAAAACTCTTTTTGAAGTTGAGGGCTTGAAGCTATGGTAAAAACCTTTCATAGCGGATTATTAAAAAGAAATATCAAGCTCATATGTAAATCAACTGCATCCTTCTACAGCAAACAGAGAATATTATACTGACAACTATACCATATATACAAACTATACCGTTTATACAAACTATACCAACTATACCTTTTCAAATTTTATTCATGCTCTCACTGATTAAAATATTAAGTGGTCATAATCCAAAGAACGCGTTCCAAAAATATAGAAGTGTAAAACGTACGAATGGTCCTTTCATTTGGAGATGAAATCGTTGGGCCCAATGTGAGAAATGCAGCCACAGGAAGACAAATATTATTGTGAAACACAATTTTCTCGTACTCTATACAATTTCAGCGAGTTCTCCAACAAAAAAACGTTTTTCAAAATTTATTTGTGCTTTCACTGAATAAAATCTCAAGAGATTATGACAATCGAGAAACCCCCGTTCCAATGTTTCGCCTGAGGACATACGGCATTAATTTGACAATTAACAAATTCTTCTCTTACTTCATTCGATCGCGTCTGAATTGCAGAATATATGTATAGCGCATAATTGAGACATTTTATAACCTTTTTAGATTTCACGACGAAATGCTGCAAATATAGAAGATTTTTCGCCCATTCCAAGGTAAAATAAGCTATTTCAAGCAATTATTTTCCGACAAAAGATTCAGTATATTTACTATAAACTTTATACAACGAAGATTAGCGATAGACCATGCAAAACGTACGAATGGTTCTTTCATTTAGAGATGAAATATTTGGCCCCAGTGGGAGAAATCCAGCCATAGGAAGACAAATTTTGAAACACAATTGTCTCGTACTGTATACAATTTCAGCGAGTTCTCCAACAAAAAATGTTTTTCAAAATTTATTTATGCTTTCACTGAATAAAATCTTAAGTGATTATGACAATCGAGAGACCCCCGTCTTAATGTTTCGCCTGAGGACATGCATACGGCGTTAATTTGACAATTAACAAATTCTTCTGTTACTTCATTCGATCGCGTCTGAATTGCAGAATATATAGCGCATAATTGAGACATTTTATAACCTTTTTAGATTTCACGACGAAATGCTGCAAATATAGAAGATTTTTCGCCCCTTCCAAGGTAAAATAAGTTATTTGAAGGAATTATTTTCCGACAAAAGATTCAGTATATTTACTATAAACTTTGTACAATGAAGATTAGCGATAGACCATGCAAAACGTACGAATGGTCCTTTCATTTAGAGATTAAATATTTGACCCCAGTGGGAGAAATCCAGCAATAGGAAGAAAAATTTTGAAACACAATTGTCTCGTACTATATACAATTGCAGCGAGTTCTCCAACAAAAAAAGTTTTTTAATTTATTTATGCTTTCACTGAATAAAATGTTACGTGATTATGACAATCGAGAAACCCCCGTTCCAATATATTGCCTGATGACATAGCTACGGCGTTAATTTGTCAATTAACAAATTCTTCTGTTACTTCATTCGATCGCGTTTGAATTGCAGAATATATAGCCCATAATTGAGACATTTTATAACCTTTTTAGATTTCACGACGAAATGCTGCAAATATAGAAGATTTTTCGCCCCTTCCAAGGTAAAATAAGCTATATTTGAAGCAATTATTTTCCGAGAAAAGATTCAGTACATTTACTATAAACTTTATACAACGAAGATTAGCGATAGACCATGCAAAACGTACGAATTGTTCTTTCATTTAGAGATGAAATATTTGGCCCCAGTGGGAGAAATCCAGCCATATAGGAAGACAAATTTTGAAACACAATTGTCTCGTACTATATACAATTGCAGCGAGTTCTCCAACAAAAAAAGTTTTTCAAAATTTATTTATGCTTTCACTGAATAAAATGTTACGTGATTATAACAATCGAGAAACCCCCGTTCCAATATATTGCCTGATGACATAGCTACGGCGTTAATTTGACAATTAACAAATTCTTCTGTTTCTTCATTCGATCGCGTTTGAATTGCAGAATATATAGCGCATAATTGAGACATTTTATAACCTTTTTAGATTTCACGACGAAATGCTGCAAATATAGAAGATTTTTCGTTCCTTCCAAGGTAAAATAAGCTATTTGAAGCAATTATTTTCCGAGAAAAGATTCAGTATATTTACTATAAACTTTATACAACGAAGATTAGCGATAGACCATGCAAAACGTTCGAATGGTTCTTTCATTTAGAGATGAAATATTTGGCCCCAGTGGGAGAAATCCAGCCATAGAAAGACAAATTTTGAAACAGAATTGTCTCGTACTATATACAATTCCATGCAGCGAGTTCTCCAATAAAAAAAGTTTTTCAAAATTTATTTATGCTTTCACTGAATAAAACGTTACGTGATTATGACAATCGAGAAACCCCCGTTCCAATGTTTCGCCTGATGACATAGCTACGGCGTTAATTTGACAATTAACAAATTCTTCTGTTACTTCATTCGATCGCGTCTGAATTGCAGAATATATAGCGCATAATTGAGACATTTTATAACCTTTTTATATTTCACGACGAAATGCTGCAAATATAGAAGATTTTTCGCCCCTTCCAAGGTAAAATAAGTTATTTGAAGCAATTATTTTCCGACAAAAGATTCAGTACATTTTGTATAAACTTTGTACAATGAAGATTAGCGATAG